TAAGGCTACTATACAGAATTTTCTGAAGGCAAATACCCAGCAAAATTTGACTTTTAAGACCTCCCACAGTAAGCGCCTTCCCCTTTAAGGGACTTATATTCATGGCCAATAAAAGAACTAAAGGCATAATAACTATACCTAGGCTACCTTTCTATTATTCTAAGCATTAGAAAAACTTAAGCTCATCAGCACCACATTTTTGTCTTTTCCTATCTCCATTTGGCAAAACTGTTAAAAGGCAAGATTTAATAGGAGCCCACTCCTAACAAGAACTATAGCCTTTGGCAGCAGGTGGTGCCCACCTCTGCCTACAGAATTGCAGCCGAAACAATCTGCTCGGAACGGCCAAGAAACCAGTAGAATGTGCTTCTGACTCAGCCTGCTAAGTAGGAGGACTGTTATTGTTATTTTCACTCCTGCTGGAGTATGTGGGCAATTCTCCCTCTTTCTGTCTCTAGTTAACCATGGAGACACCCCTCTTCCAAACCTCACCCCTGGCAGGTTGAGGTCTGGGTATGACTCCCAGCTGATAGCACAGGTTAGGATAGGCTTTCATAAAGAAACCATCTGATATCCTAATTTACCAGTAGGACTTATTTTTAGAATGTTAAACCTGCCTTTAAGATTATTCACATAGAGTGCCGTAGACCAGAGCTGATTGCTGATGAGGTAATCAGGACAAGTCAAGGTACTTATTTTCAGCGAGCGTGGTGAAAACACCAGGTTTTCTTTCTTTTTTCCTTAATCATCAGGATATTGTGGTCCTATTGTTTGTCTTTCTCTTGCCAAATGTTCTCAACAATGTAAGCATTCATCAAGTGCTGTTCCTGAGGAATATTGTAAAAATAAAAAAAAATTCTTATTTTGTAAAAAATTGTTTTAAAGGCTAAACTTCATCCATCTATGAACGATGTAAAATATAAATCTATTCTGAAAATAAAGCAAAATCTAAGCAATGTTAGGTTGTAGCAAATCTTATTGCATGGAATAATAAAATAAAATTTTTTTTTTGCTTTCTAAAAATGGTTTTCTCATTTCTACCTCTCTAATTTGTCTCTGAATTGTTTTTAGTACTATAAATTAAGATTCAAGATTACATATTAGTAGAATAAAGTTTTGTCTTGATGCTATAAAATCATGTGTCAAGGACACCCATGAAAGCTTTTTAGTATTTCAGAATCACTACACTCTGTTAAGACAAATTGAAGGACTCTTTAAAAGAGCAACAACCATCACTGATGTACATTAAGGATATTGTGCGTACTTAGTGTCATTTCATAGTTAGCCTTGCATACCCATTCGGTCCTTCAGCAGGTGAGGGTCAACCAAGAAAAAGACACTACTCTAGACAGAGCTCAGAACATCACACAATCCCTGTTCTCAGTGGGAGGAGAGAATGTTAAGATGTCAGGGAGGTAGGAGATGGTTTATATAGCACCCTGCTGGTCACAGGAGGAGTGTGGGCATTATTCTGTTATGGGCAACCATCGGTCAATTTTGAAGAAGAGTCCTACCAAAGGATTAAGATCTATTAAAGATTACACTAAATGAACAACAGATTGTAGGTCAGCAAGACTGAGCACGGGAGGCTACTGCACTAATCAGGGTGAAAAAGTGGTTTCCAGTGATGTAGGTAGAGATAATGAGAAACATCAAACATTGGACAGGCGTGATGTTGGTACTGTTATCTGCTATGAGGCTTAAGGAAGTTAAATAATATGTCCCCAACAGATGGGGGAAGGTTGGAATGAAACCATCAGGGCTGTTTACCACTCCGTAATGTTTACATGGGGCTCTTGTGTCATAGAAATGCTGTATCAACCTTTACATTGACAATTAAATGTATTATGTTTGAAATTTTTAATTCTAAATTTTATAGAATAATTAGTAACATTAGCAAATGACAGCAGAGACTTTGTTACAAAGCATTTTCATTCCTGTTATCCCATTCAATTTAATCTAACTGGCATAGTTACATGATTGCACATCCAAATAAAGCAGTTACATTTATGGTATCCTTGAAAGAATCATTACTGTTTTCAATAGTCTGTTTTCCCCCTCTAGGTGGATACTGTATCTTCTTTGCTTTTCCAACATCATTTTCTTCAACATGCATAAAAGGATCCCAGTAAATTTTGGTGGAATGGATTAAACTGCTATTTTTGTGTCAGAGAGTTTAGGTGTTCACAGTCTTTTTCCCAGCAGGCAGTATAGCTTTGGAGTCTGAGAACAATGAGTTTGCCTTCAGGCTCTGCAATTACTCTATGATCTTGAGTAAGTTACTTGATATATTTGGGTCTCGATTTCCTTATCTCAAAATTGCAATGCATTTTTGACCTGTGACACTTACATAATATCTTGCATTTATTCATATTTACCCAGCAAGGTTAGTTTATCTCTTTTATCTCCCTAAACTCTGCCAGTGTAGTAATTTATTCCCTTTAGAATATGAAAACAGTTATGAGAGGTTCTATATCTATAAAACTTATTACTATTTACTAACATTTATTTTATCTTTAATTCAAGAATTAACTGTGTGAAAAATTAGAAAAATATTTTTAAAAGAGTTCTCTCATGATTTTTGAAAGGAATATGAGCAATTAACATGAGGCAAACAAGGTTCTTTCTTTTAAGTATCTTTTAATTTCCAAGGCAGTATTTCGTATTTGGGAATAGTCAATATTTCATCTGTGGTGGGGGGGAACAAATTTCGATTATTGTGTTATGGCAAAATCAGTGAATCACGATTCCCATTAGTTAGCAAGGTCCTAACAGCCAATAAAAATGTGCTCCTCTAATGAGAACAAATGAAGCATAAACCAGATTGGCATGATATCGCATATTAAGAACTTTGGGTTTCTTATACACAAATCCAAAAGTTGCTTTGATAGCCATGCTTAAATCACTTTAACATTAAATCTTCAAAATGATGAAAATTATTTAAAAGTAATATTAAACAATACTAAGCACCAGACAATCGGAACTTTAAAATGAGTCAACTTTACAACAGTTAGGATGATTCAACCAGATCTTCCTGTATCAATACGGATGGAGCTCTATAATGCGGGATGAAGGCAAGCTGCGAGAGAATATCTACAGTATGGTACCATTCATGTTAGCTTTTGAAATGTAAATAATTATATTGCATATTTTTCCATACACATGTCATTAAAGTATAGAACACACAAAGAAAAGATATGTCATCTCCAAGATTGTGCATCTTTTAGAAAGAAAGGAAAGTGAGGAGGTTGAGCCTTTGCTCTTTCTTTGGTGGTTTATTTCTTTAGAAGAGATTTGACCATATGTGGTAATCATTTCATAAGGTATATAGATGTCTAATCACTATGTTGTATACCTGAAACTAATATGATACTGTATATCAACTATAAACAAAAATAAATTTTAAAAAGATTTGAACAAAGTCAATTGTTAGCATTGGCTTGGTCCATGTGGTTATTAATTATTTATAATAAATTTTCTATATTTCTCTTTGAAATTTTGTAAATTTTCTTGATTAAAAATAAAAAATAAAGTAACAAAAACAGTAAAGCTTACACTGAAATGCATTCTTCATTCCCCAGAATAAAAAAATCATTAATTTCTATTCTTTCTCTAATATTACTCTGCTTTTATTATAGGAATTTTGAGTTTAAAGAAATGTAAAATAAAGGAAAATATTCTTTCTGATTGAAAACTGAGCTAAGTGTATACATCTCTTTAGTTTGTAATGCAACAATGATAAAGTACCAAATAAACCTAAAATAAATGTTTGCCTGCAATGGTGTTTTAAGTAAGTGTATTATACATTTTTTTCTTCCATAAATTCAGATAGAACCAACTCAAAACATAAGTGAATCTGATTGTTGACTTTTCTACCATGACATGAAATTGCTGTTACAGTAACAGCTGGGGCTGGTGTTCTTTTTGGCGTCCGCTGCTCCTGGACTCATGTATACAACAATCTTGGGTGAACTATATCTGCCTTCCTCCTCTCTCTTGGCTTCATGCCACTGATCTGTAAAATGGGGATGATCCCTGTTATTCACTCAGTGTTGTTGTAAGGTTTAAATGATTTAACTTATGCAAAGTAAATCACACCGTAAATGTTGAGTCTGGCACATAGTAACTGTTGAGAAAACACTGTTGGTATTGTTAGCCATTACGGGGATGATAGGCTTCCTACAATCCTCATTTCAGGAAAAAAAAATCTTTTCCTTTGTTTACTATTAAATCATTCAAAGCATTAAGTGTTATTTTAATGATCCTAACCCTATTAACTGCAGAATTCATGTGTATGAGGAGGGACCCCCTAAAAAAAGGAATTATCTTCTGGAGGGTGGGTCCCTAGTAGTACAGGCTTCCCCGACTAGGTGAGTGTTCTAGAAACCCATCTGGATCAGCATTCCAGCTGGCGTTGTTGTGAGAGGCCGCACTTGGCTTCAGTGAATTTTTTTGGAAGACTCTTTCAACACTTTACCCCATGTCATCCTGGGTAATTTACAAGTTCACTTGCCCACACTGTGCTGAGTGTTCAGCAGTTTTTGACCAAAAAACAACATGACCCCCATGGTCTACCCTTCTTTTCTACCTGATCTCGCCCCAAGAGACTTGTTTTGGTTTCCCAGGATGAAAAATGTCCTCAAAGAGAAATGTTTTGCCGATGTGAAAGAGGTGAAACAAAAAACAGCAGAAGCACTAAAAGGCATCAAAACTGGCATGTTCAAAAACTGTTTTGAGCAGTGGAAAAAAATATCTCAGTAGGTGTATTGCATCCGATGGAGAGTACTTTAAAAGTGACTGAAGTTTAAAGATGTAAGAATAAATACACAATTTATACAAATAAATTCCAGGGGGTTATTTTTGGAATTTCCCCCCTTGTATTTCTTCTTTATCAAAATGAATTGATGTTTATTTAATAGAGATTTTTAAAGAAATATATTGTTAACAGTTATTTCTCACAATTGTGGGCAACTTTTTCATGTAGAAAGGATGAAGCTTACCTATTCAGGGAAGCAGTAAAACGGTAGTTTGTTATGTTGTGTTCTCAAAGGGTTAATAATAGGTTCTGGCTTCTTTCTGTAGAAAAACAAAGTTAGGGCATTAATACTTCTCTCTGATCCATGTACATTAATTATATCATGTAAATAAATACCAAACTCAACTTGTGTCTTTCTCTTTTTATATTGGCTACTTAGGAGTCCATCAGATAAATTTCACGGTAGTTCTTTACGGTCATAACGTTGAGTATTTACAATCCGCTAGGCCTATGCAAAAGAGCTATGCGTGTATGCAGTGTGATTTCACGTATTTGGAATAGAGCAATAAAAATGTTAATTGTTCCATACTTTTCCTCACTTTTTAACTTCACTCCAGTGAAGCTACATAAGTATTATATCCAAGAAAAAATAAAATTTTAAATTGCTTAAGTTGTTTTCAGCTAATAAATCGCAGGCATTTGTATTCTCTCCCAAGAGAATGTATTCTTCCTGGTAAACTGTTAATTATACCCAGTAAGCTTTAAATGACTGGGCCTCTAGCCCAGTTTGTATTGATTCTCCCTAGCACAGGATGGAGAGATCTTTTCTTTTCTTGTTTCTTTTTTTAAACAAATTAAATTTTCTCTATCGGTACTGAACTTATTTTGACATTCACAATCCTAAAAGTCATTCTGGATCAGTACTTATGCTTAGAAATTCCACTAGAACAATACAGAATACTTCTTACTAATATGGTACCTAGAAAAACACACAATTACTAGAAGGCACTGGGCTTGTTTTGTACTTCATAAGCCATTCAGGTGCAATCATCTTAATCTACAAAGGGCAAAACATACAAAAATAATTGTCTGTCAATGCAAGGGGCAGAGTTGAGACCCATTTTGAAGTCCTGACGTGTTACAGTAGGTCTCTACATCTACACATCTCCTTGTGTTTTCACCAGGGCCTGTGTGATTTCACCCCGGGTAGGGAAGACCCCATCATATCCTCAAAGAAGAAGTTGCTTGACATGAAGGAGCCCTAAGACTCACAATGTGATTGGTAGCTACTAATTCATCTTCAAGACCTGGTAGAAAATGTAAACTTGGTAAGACAAGAGGCAGATTACTCAGCTCTTCTCCATGACCTTTCCGAGAACAATGTGTGTATGAATATGAGCAGACCAGGGTCTGGTTCAAAAATAACAAACAATGACTGGCTCAGATCCTCTATCAAGTGATTTTGCATGTAATTAGCTCACTTACTCTATAAGCAAATCACTCACACATGATGTGCAGCAGAGAACAAGTCTGTTAATGCATATTAAAGGTAGAAAGGCTTAACATTTTTAAAAAATAAAAATATTTTGTAAGGCAAGAAGAAACACAGTAAAATTCTCTATTCCTTCAAATAATTTGATAGTTATTTTAGGAAAAAAATTTGACCACCCACACCTCTGAACACAGTTTTTTTTTTTTGTATGTTTGTTTGTTTTGTTTTTTCCCCATTTAGTCCAGCTCAGTGGTACTCAAATTTGGAATATATTTATAAATGATATTATCACTTTATCAAAAAAATGACATATGACACATATTTATATAACATTATTATATACAATAAGTTGACTATTTAAAAAATTTTAAGGATAGTTTTTGTTAAAAGCAAATTAAACCTTACAGGTTGATTTTAAAACAAATAAAATGGTGGACCTTGTTCTGATAAAAAAGAGTCTTTGGGTAGTTAATCAATGAATGCTGAATAAAATACCATGCTTTATATCCTCTTTAAATTCCTTACTATGTGTATTTTTGCACTTCATTTTCTGGTTTTCTAGCACACATGCACCCATGTGGATATGTGTGCAAGTACAGATTACATGTTACATTTACCCTAAGTAAAAATAAGAAAAAAAGAAAGAAAGGAGTTCTATAGAACAGGGATCAACAGTTGACCATAGAGACTCGATCCGTCTTCCTGCTGTCTATTTTCCTAAGTACAGTCTTTTGGCACACAAGCCATGTTCATTTGTTCATGCGTCGTCTATGTCTGCATTCCAGCTACACTGCCAGAGTGAGGAGTGGTGATGCAGACCGTATGGCCCTTTCTGTTCACGCGTGACCTAAAATATTTACTATCTGGCCCTTTAGAAAACATCCACTGACACCTGTTACCAAAGAACATGTTCATCGTTTGAGCAACATTAAAAGCAATATTTAAAAATAATATCCTATCTAGTCCATTCCTTCCAAAATTAACTCAATATATGAATGAAAGTAAAATCTCATTCTTACACACATATAAAGGCTAATTGCATTCCAACACAATTTAGAAGTTATTGGGCAAAGAATGAGATGACTGTTAGAAAATTGAGGGTACCAATTAGTCATAAAAATAATGGACTATTTATCCATCATCCTGACCTTTGTGTTTCATTGTTATAAACTTTAAATAACTATCTATTTTATAGACTTTATTTTATGATAGAGATAAATGTCAAAGGCATATAAAAGTGAATAGCCATTTTAAATTAATACAGTACAGTTAGAAGGGATCATTTTTATTCCATATAAAAAGATTAGTTTATTTTAATGTATATTTTGGTGCAGTTTTAGTATTATTTGGTGCAGTTTTAGTATTTGTTACATCATATAGAAAGATTACATCATCCCTAAAACAATATTAGCAAACATCTATAGAGCATTTTTTATGTACCAGAAATATTTGAAGCACTTCCTGTATATTAGTTCATTTATTTATCACTATTACCCTCTAATACTGGCAACTATTATTATCCCCACTTAACAGATGAGAAAGCTGAGGCCAAGACTTTCGGTGCTATTCCCAGCATGACACAGCTAGAAAGTGACTAACTTTTCAGCCATATACCAACTCTTTATAAACTCTGAGAGTTAAAGACCTTTTTCAGCAAAAAGGCTTTGCAATTCCTCTGAGAAGTGGTATTTCAAGAATGGCAACTTTGAATTTACTAGAAATACTCAGCACATACATTATTCAGCACATACAGTTTCCTGAACAAATTGAAGTGTACTCCGCTGCAGTTCTGCCTCTGTTCTCTACTGCATTTTTTCTATCGGGTTTGCTTATGCCACTTTCCAGAACCTCTTAGAGCTGGGTCTAAACATTAGTGAGAGCCATGACTGGTAACACCTGACAGAGTCATTTGTTAACGACTACGCTTACGGGCTAGACTGCACACAACAGAGAACAGGATGTGCACTGGCATCACAGGGTAAGTTGAGGGAACCAGTTTATGAGGAACCCAAGATAAACACTTGTTTAGCTATAAACAAAATCAGTTTTTATCAGCTTATTACTGAGATAAATAAGATGTGCATACAGTAAACTTAGGCTGCATATAATGCATGTTTGGCTGTTGCGATGTTTATGTGCAAGTTTTGTGACACCTATAGCATTAAAGTTAGAATGATAAATTTATTTTAGAATCTTGTGAAGAAAATATTGCCAAAGGTATGGTTTTTGTCAATGAATGTAAGAACCACATTTAATTCATTAAGCAACAAGGTCAAGACAAAATCTTCCCTGGATTGTGAGCCCAGGATATACTTTCATATTAACCTTTGAAACATTATAGTATAAGTATTATTTGGTTATTTTTCATCTTTTGATAGACTGTCAGATAAGCTAAATACCAAGATGCTTGAAGTTGCTGGAATCCGGAATAGCTGAAGGCTACTGAAACCTCATTGGCTAGCATTAGCCTACTCGATGTGCTCTCAAGTAAACAATAGCATTGTTCTCTACCTCCTCTATCAATCGGCTCTATGAGATTTTGAACAGTTTGTGTAATTCGGCGCATTTGTCCAGGATAATGATTTCAGCTCCTGAGAACTGTACCATCCACCATCCTGACAGTCTTTAAATACAGCAGTGACCAACATAAAATCATCTAGTCTAACATGCTACTACACCATTTCTGTTCTCTAATAGGTTCAGAAGCAGTTCATTATCACTACGTATTTGTTAGTAGCTCAAAGTCACAGTAAATGCAAACCACTGATAGTTGAACAGAGAGGTATTCCCTTCTTGGGGTTTCTTTTTAGGAGAATGTTACACTTCCTGCCAAGGAAGCATACTTCAAAATATACAGTTGAAAGAATTAAGGGCACTTAATAAAATCCACATTCAAAACATAGGATCTTAAATTGGTCAGGGAATCTAGGTTAAGTAGACAGTGAGAGTTTTTCCTTTTCATCCCCAAACCAGCTACTTCAGGCTATTGCCAAGGACCAGCAGACGGGGTTGAGCTGATTTAGTGGAAATAATCCAGTCTTGTTCAAAGCATCTCAACATAGTTCATGGCTGTAAAAAAGGATGCAAGTAGGTGAAGGATAAAGGACTGACTTAGCCAGAAAACTCAGGTTTAAGTCTTAGAGTCTTTAAGGTTTATATCTTGTTCATACAAATCCTGATAGGAGTAGGGTAACCCTCCGGCCCACCTTTCTTTCCCAGTGCAACCTTTCTAACCCAGCAATCGGGCTCTTTTCTTCCTGTGGCTCAACTCAGGGCCCCCAGGATTGCTGCGGGCAGGCCGGAGCCACCCGGAGGGCTGCACACAGCTCTCCAAGGCTTTAGCCCAGCAGCCCACGCATCGCTTCCTCTCATAGCTGCCTGCAGTGAACCGGCTATGCAGCCCTGCCTCAGTGCAAAGGATTGAGGAAGATGTTGCATAAATGGAGACTGGTTCAGCAGTAAAAACCTCTTTTGTAAGAGTTAAGGAGCTATCATTGTCCAGTAGCTGTTTTAGGGTCATTTTTAGATCTGCTACTTATAGAAGAGTAAAAAGAAATAATGCTCAGAGATATCAGCTAAAATCTTCTTATTATGTATGTATGTATTTATTATTTTTAGAGAGAGGCGAAAGGAGGGAGAAAGAGAGGGAAAGAAACATTGATGTCTGAGAGAAACATCGATCCGTTGTCTCTTGCATGTGCCCCAGCTAGGGACCAGGCCTGGAACCCAGGTTTGTGCCCTGACCAGGAATAGAACCAGTGACCTTTCACTTTGCAGGATGATGCCCAACCCACTGAGCCACACTGGTCAGGGCTAAAAACTTATTTT